AGGTGCCTTCCTCAACCCCAGCATCTCACTGCTGAATACGGTGGGTGATTTGAAGAAACTTTCCACTTAATAAGAGATAAAAAATTGGAAAATAAACTTATTTGAAGGTTATCTCAATTCAAAACCAAAAGGACTTACTGGAGACAACTTGATAGACCCGTTTCAAAATTCTGCTTGATGAAACAAAGTTTGCCCTCAATCACAATCCAAATACATTTCACCCTTTCAGCACCCCCTTTTTTTCCTTTACCTTCTTGTGTACAAAGCCAGCTTTTTAATTCATCAGTTTAAAGACTCCTCCCATAGTCCAACTTTTACTGAGTATCTTAAAACAAGCATGCATGGCCACAACATGTCAATAAATACATCTTTTCTTTTTTTCTGTTTGTGAATGTTGTGTTCCTCTTTTGAAGGTAGACCTGGCCTGTTTGTTCTCACCCTGGCATGTGGTGAAAAACAGCTCATGCAGGCTTTCAGGTTTAGACTTCAGATTTCCTCATTCCCAATCAGCACAGTCTAGGGCTGTGAGAGAGGGCCCAGTGTGGAAAGCTGATTATTTTAAGTTAATAAGTTAATTGCAAGTTAAATTTCATAAGAGGTTCTCTGGACCTCTTGCAAACATAAAAGAAGTCTTGTTAGATCAGACCAAAGGCCCATCTAGTTAAGCTTTCTGTTCCTACACTGGCATCTCAGATATCTATACGAAGCCAACAAGTAGGACATTAATACAATAAAAACATAGAAAAGAACCTTATAAAAGTTCTAAGGTAGTAGAGGAATTTAGGAGAATTGCTTATGACTAATATAATGACATTTCCATATGCCACAGTCCTATCATATAAAAAGCATATCCATATTTACAATGCTCCTGTTACACGTAGAAAGCTGTATTTTCTGCTCTTACTACATTTATTATGTTTGTTTACTTTTTATTGTGTGCATCCTTGAGGGCCCACACTATGCCAAAAGATAGAGAATGAGTGTTTTTATCAGTTGATAAATTAATTATGGACGGATGTTGGGTGGTTTAGAAGAGGGTGGATTTTCCCATTTCCATAGCTGTACTATCCAAAGGAAATCTGGATTTTGACTTGGTATGTTGCAGAGAAAAAACTGCAGTGGCAGAACTGTTTCTGCCCCAGTTGATCACACAGCTGCAAAGAGGATTTTGGATATCTTTTTTCAGGATCAGAGACAATTGTATTGGCCTGTGAGCCAGTAAGAAATCAGACATTTCCTCTTATCCAAGGTTTACAGACTAGGTGTTAAACAGGATATAACCACAAGAGGATGAATAAAGGAGGAAGAGATAGTTGCAGTGACAATAAAGTAATCTAGTAGTTGTATAAGAACAAAAGGCCCAGCGTGGTTTCTTTTTTCTTTCATCTGGATACAAATGGTCTGAAATATCTATGGGACAGAACTTTAGACCAGTGAGATTCTGGTCCAAAATTCCAAGTTCCAGTGTATGCAGTGTGGATGCTATATCTGCTCTAGGAATAGTTTGGCCTAGAGTACATCTAGTACAGCACTAAGAAGTCCCAAATCCTCAGCTAGTCAGGGGTGCGGGATCTGCCCCATTCTCTTGATCACAGGAAGATTAGGAACATATTAGATAAGCCTAGGAAAGTCTCTAAAATGAGTTTTAGGGCATTCTATCAATAAAGCTTGTCAAGCTAATAATTAAATGATGATAATTATATGAGCAAAAGCAACATGAACAAACAAAAGTATAAAATATTATCTGAAATGGATTGATTTATAACCGCAATATCCTTTTTGAAAACAATCTATGTTTGTATCCTCAAAAAAACCACCCAACTTACTAGTATTCAATTTAATCAAATAACTTAAATTCAATTTAAGCAAATTCAAGCAAACAGCTACTTGCATATTTAAGTATCTTTTGCCTCTGACATGTAGCAAAGCATAGGCCCTCAATGAAGTATTAACAGTAGTTTTATTGGAGGATACTGAAGAAGAGTTGTGTATTTGACTTCCCAGATCTAACATATGAAAACTGCAACATTACAAACTGACACCCAACTAACTGGCTTTTTGATGTGTTGGTTGGGAATTCTAGAAACCCCGGTCATAACACAGCTGGAGGTTGTTAGGGTTGGGAAGACTAACTAATAGCGCTCTCTTCAGAGATGGCTCTTAGAAAATTGCCTTTACCTGCATGACTATTCAGAGTAAGTCCCACAATGCTCAGTAAGACTTATCCCTAGTTTAATCTGCATAGAACCAATGCCTAAGGTTCTATTAATGGGAATAGGAACAATTGAGAATCAGTGTTTTCCAACTATAGGGTTGTTTGATTACCCTGACATTGGATAGAAATACAGAAATTGTTTTCTCTAGAGTGCTCTTCTGCTGATCTCTAACCTTTGAATTTTGCAAATGTGCATTTGAAAAATTGCAACATTTACAAAGGGGTTACTTTGGATCCTCCGTGTTAAGAAATGTTCCCATATGTCTTTGGTACAACTTAGCCAGAACTCAGTATCTCAGTATCAGAGGACAAACCATGTAAACCATTATGCATCTGAGCTAGATGGCTGTTGTTTGCACTTCTCAAAACAAAACAACAACAAAAAACTATCTGCCATCTGAGGAAATCCTACTTCTATAAAATCTGATGTTATGATAAATCAGAAAAAAAGAGTAATTTTTATGCTACTTTCAAATATTACAGCTATTTTGGCTAGGCTATCAGGAATGTAAAAAAACAGAAGACAACCAGCAGCAAGGTGGATTGATTCACTTACAGCAGCGATGGGCGCACCATTGGAAGACCATGTCTCCCTCCTAGAGAAAATCTGTGTGGTCGCTGTGACTGACATAGGCTTGATAGCACATCAATCAATCTTCCCACTTCCATTCTTTCCTATGTACTGGATCCATACATCATGCTAAACCAGACTTTTCCAACCTGGGTGGCTTCCAGATGTGTGGACTCAATTCCAAAGTTCAATTTTCTGGCAGATGGCCATTGCCAAGAATTCTGGAGGTTGAAGTCTGCATATCTTGGAGGCAGCAGATTTAGGGGAAGGTATGACACATAATATGGCTTATTTTGGTCATAATGTAATGTGTGAAGTCATCCATGATAGCTTATCCAACTGTGATTAACTCAGCCACAGTTTGTTATGACACCTGAACTGGACAAACTGTGATTACTATAAGCCATAACCTGCCTTACAACCAGAACTGGAAACAGTCATCCAACCACCCTTCACCACTTGTGGCAAATAGGGATTGCAGTAACTATAGTTTATCTGATACAGGCCTCACAGCTCACTGTAATTATTCCAATTCAAAGAGGGAGAGGGGTTGAGAAAGAAGAGGACAGAATTTATAAGACTGAGGCATGGTTTCAATCATTGGAATGGGGACAAATTTCTACAATCCAAGAATGAGATTCAAAACGAGAGAAAAACTCATACTAAATTAGCAGCTTTCAAATAATGAGCCATGGAAAACTTCTTGAAGGACCATGGAACTGCCAACAGAATGCATTGCTAGATACCTCTTTTTATTCACAGTTGACATAGGAAAAGGAGCACTGTGCTTTCAGCCATGGCTTCTGTTTACAGCTGCCAAAACTCCAGAGGACCAGTAGAAGACAGTAAATAGACACAGAAAACTCTTAACTCTTTGTTGTCATCTAGTGGTTCTTCAGATTTTTGCAGCTCAGATTTTGTAGTTCTATAATGTTCAGCTGTGTTGTAGTTGTTTGTTATATATACATCAACACTACGGTCATCATAGAAAAAAAACCTCAGAACTGTAACTCAGGGAGAAGCTGAAAAAGTGCTTGAATCACCCACTAGAGAAGTGGAAAAGCTTGCTCCTGATGTTTGAAAGTGCTGTTTCAGATGACAGGTTTGTGCATTTTGAGAAATCGAACCCCCAAGGAAACAGATGAGCCTTGCCCAGAAACACATTGACATATCACACTGTGTGATATGCCATGGGCTATATCCCCAACTGCTTTAGGAATTCAGTGAGCATAATAAAATCTGGGGCACAACAAATTACAGGAGAAAAAACTCCATTACTGGATAACACCTTGATTAGGACCAATCAAATGAACCCCCCCTTCCACCTTTGTGTAAGAAACCAAATCCAATTTCTTATGTTGAACTTAATCCAAAAACTAACTGAACAGAGGGAGAGAGAGAGAGATGAAAATTGAGCATAGGGCAATGTCAACTTAATAAGCATCATTTACATTCTTGTAGATGCTATTTTCTGTAAATGAAACTGTAAAAATAATATAAGGAAACTTCTGTTATAAAGATTTTCAGAAATAAGTAGCATATCATTTAATTGCTATTTATTTTCATAAACATGAGGTATTTCAAAGTGCTATAAAGATGCAGCACTAAATGTACATCGTTGGAAGAAATTAAACACAGAACTTTGCAATTACCCAGTTCTATGCAACAAACATTAACAAATACATTAACTGGAAGAAACAGGCTAGGAAAAAAGGCATATATAGTAAATTTCTTTACAAAAGTTTTCTTAGTTCAAAAAAGTGATAAAGTAATATCTACTCAAAACTTTCCACAACCATTTTCATACGAAAATATAAGTATCAAATTTAGTTATGTATCAGCATCATACTAAAGTATACAGGCAGTGTAGGAATTAGTACAGTACATAACAGAGATTAACAATATATTTGTATACAAAAACATGCTCCTCAAACATTGAGGTATTACAGTACTTAGGTATGAACTTCCAGTCTAATATTGGTAGCAAAAGTCACCTCTCATAACCCAAGACGTGTACAAAAGGCAAATGTGTATATGGTATTTACACAGGTGGTTCCCTTCCCCCTGGGCACAAAATGGTTTTGCCCCGTAACACCTGTAAAACATAAGCACCATTAAAACGGAATGAATGTTTCCAACTCAACTGGATGTCATAAGCAAGTCCCAACGCTCACAACATTTCAAGAACACAGACAGTTCCAAGAGGAAATACGAAGCCATTCCGCCATGGTTTGGCAGTCTCTTCAATTCCAGAGAAGAACATCCATCTGATCTCCCTTCAGATAACAATGTTGTGTCATCTATGTAAGAGATGGGATTGAAAATAAAACCAACATTCTTAACGTCAAAAAAACATAGCTCTCTTTAAGGAATCAAAAATGTGCAAAGTGGCAATAGTTGTCCAGATCAGACAAATATATAGATATAGATATAGATATAGATATAAAGGTAAGGTTTTTTTTCCTCCCCCAAATTAGCAAGTCTGCATATGTTCTAATTTTTTCATCAACTGCTGTTGCCTGATTTGCAGTTTTTCCTTTTCCAACAACAGCTTGTGCTCCTCAGCCTGCAGGGAATGGACATACTCAGTGGCTTTTTTCAAGATGACCACTTTGGCTGCCTTCTCATTTTTCACCAGTTCGGGCACGTGGTCCCTTAATGTCAGAAAACTTGACCTCAGATCGTTACGCCGCTGCCGTTCCAAAATGTTGTGGTTTCGTCGACGCTCGCTGTCTTCTGAATCGGAGTTGCGAGGACTGGAACTCTTGGGCCTTGGTTGGGTCACTGGTTTTGCTGGACGAGGTGCTTCGTTTTTTAGCTTTTTGGGTGGAGGCACATCTTCCCTCTCTATGTAGGGCGAAGGCGCAGCATAGTTGTGCTGCTGGTGAATGGGGGCACAGCGCTTTAGGATGACTTCGTTGGGCTGAGTTCTCACCGAGGCAAAGGGAGCGCCATTCTTGGGGCGCATTGCAACAGTCAGGGTGGTTATAGCTTTGTAGGAGGAGGAGCGCCTCTTTTCCACTGTGACCACGTCAATTTCTTCCTCATCATCCTCTTCTTCCTCATCTTCATCTTTTATTGGAAAGATAAAAGGTCAAGATATTACAATCCCAGGGAAGCGTGCCTAAGACTCAGACATTTTGTATTAATTAGCAAAGACCAACGTATAAACTTCAAGCTCTTAAAGTAGGAAGGGCGGGCAGGAAAACAGCATCTTCCAGATACAGAACACATTTGCATGCTCAAGCCACAGATTCCCTATATGTTCCATCAAGCTATCAGTAAAGGAGACATAGTTTAATGAACCATCTGTGATAGTAGAAAGGAGAGAATCTGAAGGTATTCAGGCAAATAAATAAATAAAATTACAACCCAAATGATCATAAGATGAAAAGAACATAAAGGGGGGAAAAAAACCCTTAATCTGAATTTTATGGAACGGCTCTATGAGTTGAATTGCATGGACAGAATTGATTTACAAGGCAGACATAATGTATGCATGTTAACATGCATTCACACACACACACAAACATTCAAACTAATCCTGGAACACATTCCATTTCAATGAAAATGGGCTAGAAAACTAAGCAATTGTTCTCCTGGAAAATGCAAAGCGGTCCCAGTTGGTCGGTCCCTTTAAGACAAAGTTCTGGTTTACTGCCAAGAAGACAGCTGTTAGGAGGAAGTCTTCTTGCCGAAAGCTGTCAAGTCTCAGACTTGAAGGAGGCAGTGAATCTTTTGAAACAGGAGGCCGATCGTCAAGTTTATGATTATGGTCATATGGCTCCTCTCATTGAGAGACAAGAAACTGTTTATTGTCACACCAGATTCTACTTCCCACTCCACCCCTCCAGATTATAAGCATTTTGCTGAATTTAAAGCCAACTTTCTATATTTTGTTCCATTTAAATCTCCCATGCCTGCTAAATCCTCATATAATTTATAGAATGTTCATTTTGAAGCCTTGTTCAATTGCAAAGTCAGTCTGCCCACCAAGAGAAAACAAGTCATTTTTGCCCAGAGAAGCCTATTTTGTCCAATACCGAATAAAACTACCATTTTGGACAGTAACAATACATGGAGTAAACTGTTGTGTGGTGCTCAACATAGTGGTGTTGTAGGTTTCTAAATAATTTTCATTCATCCATCATCAATATTCAAATCTCTTGTAAGAGACAAAATGCTGGGAGTCCTGAAAGCAAACTTTTTGGATATGATGCTCACCTAAGAGAGACTAACATACTGCCATCTACTGGCAATGTTTTGCAATACATCTAGGAGGGATCTAATGAAACACACTCCATATAAAAAGTCTGGGGCTTGTGCTAGTTTTTACTTTAAGGATTACTTTCAAAAATACAACTGGACTATAATCTACAATATTTCCTTATCAAATCAGTGCAATTGCCTTATGTATTCTGTCTGTACCCAGCTTCTAGCTGGAGGGTTTACCTCATTAATGTTGGCTCAGTTTCACTATACCAGCATGTTAAACCCATACAATTACAGAAACATCTTATTCTGTGAAGATCAAAGTTTCCCTTCTTGCTCACATCTGTCCCATTGCTGCTTTAAATCTGCCCCTAATATAACTTGCTGTTCTGCAGTGAATGATTCACTCTGAAAACAGCAGCCACCAACTTTCCTTCCCTCCTTTTTGACTCAGTTGTCAAATCCCAAACTGCTAAGATCTAAGATTTATATTCTTTGGTTGATGCTGCACAATGCTGTTTGCAGAGTGAAAAAGCTCAGTTTAATCTGGCCACAGAAAGGAATGGCTAGAGAAAACAAGAATGCTTCTCCCTTATTCCATAAGGGCCATGCTACGTTGGGGGACAATATCTGATGGTGTCTCTTAGGCTACCAATTTCCTGCTGCCACCCTTGTTGGAAGAGACGTAAAGTGCCACCAAAACTCAACCTCCTATGCTTTTTTTTAAAGGCAGATTATATTGGTGAGGGGGTCCCCTTGAAACCTCATACCAGTGCCCACACGTAACAAAGGATGTGGTTATTTACCAGAATCACTGAGTGTGTCGTCTCCTGAACTGTTGTTGGCCCGGCTGTCACTAGTCATACTCGGGTGGTGGCTGCTTCGGGGTGCAGGCAGGGCCACCCCTTGAGCAAGGCCACTGCTGCAGTTCACGCTCACCCGGGCCCCTGCCACTCCTCCTCCCGAGGAGGCTGGGACCGGGAGGTCTCGCTTCTTAACGGGGAAAGGGAAAACCACGGCGGGATCCACGCACTCAGACACGGAGTTGTTGAGCTCTGCTTGGCTGCCGCTATTGTTTCCAGGGCTGCCTTTGGAGGGGAGGGCAGCTGGGGGGGTGGCAGACCCAGCTGTGGCAGGCGCTACAGCTGTTCCTCCTTTACTCTGTGGCTTCTCGGTTACTGCCCTTTCCAGCTTTTCACTGGTCCCAAAGCCGCTCCACATACAGTCCTGAATAATGATGGAATTGAGGTTGCTGCTTTCACCCAAACCCGTCTCAAAGGAATCCCCTCCATCGCCGCTGTCCCACAGATCAGCTTCTGGGGGCAGCAGCAGCAACTCCGATGCCCAGTCCAGAGGGTCGCTGGTCCGGTATCCCCCCAGAACTGTTCCTCCCCAGGACACGGGGGCTCCTCCTGGGGGGTTCTCCTGCAGACCCGCCGGACTCGGAGACAGAGGAGGTGTAGGTAGCAGCTCAAACTTTTTCCAGATATCCTCCCCTGGAGGAGCCGAGTCCGGACCGCACAAATAAAAATCATCTTCGTCTGGATAGAAACAGGGCTGCAAAGAGTCAAATTCAAGATCAGAATTTTTACTGACCATCCCTGGCATCTCCGCCGGTCGCTTCAACAGGGATCCTTAATTAGGATATTACAACTGAAGAGAGAAATGTCAGGTTTGTTTTCCACTGGGTGAGAAAAGACGCCCCTTCCTAGCAGAACCTGAAATTAAGCAGGAAGAAAAAAATACAAATTAGATTTAAAAGGCAGAAATGTACACCTACACCGTGCAGATACAGGATAACCCTGGAGTTCTTTTCCTTTTCAAACCGGAAAGATCTCCAGCACTTCAATGAAAGAGTCTTAAGCCCATAAAAGAAACATTACAGATATTCTACACTTACTTACTTACTTACTCCCTTCTAAGAAAGAAAATGCAGAAAAATCTTAAGGGGGCTGTTGGGAAAGGAAGGCACAAGCCTTGTTCCTGGGCACACCCTCTTCCTACAGAGGGGTACAGAGCCTTCAGAGATGCAGAAAAATATTCCTCCAGCATTTGCCCTGCAGAAAAGCCTGCTGGCTATTCCAGCAAAGTAAAGAGGAAGTTTCTTCCTTCTTTTGTCATCTGTAGTCTATGCAGGAGAGGGAAAAAGAGGACGGCGGATGTTTAAAAAAAAGCGAGGGAGGGGGAGCGGCGCTCAGGGCTACTTTGCAAATTGCCATTCCATTCATTCGCGAGAGCGCTTCCAGAAACCCACACACGCAGAGATAGTAGGAAGGGGAAAAGGGGGGAAAAGGAAGTCGCTCGACGAAGCAGCATTATGCAACAGAAGGAAATTCACACACGCGCACCGCCACTCACCCAGACCGGGTAAAACAAAACACAACACCTTTAATAAGGTACTGGAAGTTTTTCCGCGGGCGCGCGCACACGCACCGAACACACACACAAGGGGGGAGGGAGGAAAGGAGGATGCGACTGGGATGAAAAAAAAGGGGGGTCGCGCTGGTATTTACATACGCACTACACTGCTTTTTCAAAAAGAAACCCTGCAATTTTCCGTCTCATCCCTCTCCACGTCCCATTGTTAACCCTCCTGAAACAACAAAGCTGCTCTAAAAACAACCGATCGGCGGCAGCGCCTCCCATCCTCTCATCAGGATCGCGCGAAGTAGCCAAGCCTCTAAGTCTGAAATAGGCTCAGCAACTTTTCCTACTGCGGGCACCTCAGGAGAAAAACGTAGCAGGCATAAACAAACAGGGAGCGAAGGAAAGAAGCGAGTTTGTGCATTTACTGAAACTGCATCCGAGATCAGTAACAATCATCGCTCAGAAATAAGCTTTCCCCGATCGAGAAAGCGCGCGCGCCGGCGCGCGCACGCACACACACACACACACAAGTCTCCCCAAACAGCAGCCGCGATCCCATCCCAGCTGCTCTCACTCGCCTGCCCCGCCCCCCGATCACTCTCACTATTGTACAGTATTCTTACTCTCCCGTTCAAAGCCGTATTAATTTGCTATCAAGACATTGGGGCGGCGGGGGGGGGAGGGAGGGAGGGAGGGGAGGGGGACGGCGACGAGCGGCGAAGAGAAGCAATGGAAAGTCACTGAAACATCAGGACAGATGCAGAACGGTTCTACCGGCAGCAACACCAAGTCGGGGGGCTGGGTGGGTTTTTTTACTCGACTGGCTTTTGATGAATGAAACCCAAGCAAACGCGGATCACCGAAACACAATTCTTTCTTTTCGACCCAAAGGGTGGCACTTATCTCCCCGATCTTCCTTTTTTTTCCTCTCCTCCCCCTCACCCCCCCCCATTTTCTTTCTTTTCCCCAAAGGTTTTGCATCCCCGGCACGCACTCCTTGTCTTCTTACCTCCCGGCTGACGGTGGCGGTTGCAAGGAAGAGGAACGGCTGCGGGGGCAGAAGGGGGCTGAATTAATGCAGATGGTGGTCTCGAATCTAGGACTTTAAAGAGCGCCAGCAGCCCAGTCGCCCCCCCCAGCCAGTGTTAAACCTCTGTATTCACCCTGTGCTTGCAGACAGATGACTGTCACTAAGTGGGCTTTGAACCTCTTGTATATTATTAACTAAAAAAAAAAAAAGCTGACACACCCGAGGAAAAGGGGGGCAGGCGAGCGAGCGAAAGAAACTTAACCCCACCTCCCTGATTTCCATAGAGCCAGGGGAGGTGCCAGGCATTTGGCGCCAAAACCCCTTTTGCTATTGCCTCTTTATTCTTGAGAAGGAGACAGATAGGCTTGCAATAATAAAAAAAAAGGAATGCAAAGTGCCGCGATTGCACTCCCGCTGGGTTTACTCCGCTGCCACCGGCTGATCTTGGGTGGGTCGCGCACTTTGCGAGGCTGCCCTCCCTCCCGCCTTCTATCTCTCCCTCCCGTTCGTTTGCTGCAATGGCAATTGAGGCGCTGCCTCGTCCGAGCCTGGCTCCGTACTACCTCGGGAGTAAGACGTGCAGAAATCCCTGGCGCTTGCCCCCCGCCCTCAGGGTGCCCTAATGCTTTCTGCACGGGAAGCAATCGCCCCTTTCCCGGGGTCATCCTGCTCGTCTCATTTACCTAATTGTTTCCGTTCGGGTTTGAAATGTTGCAGCCGATCGTTAAAGAGGAGGGAAGCAAGGCGAGATGGACGGGGCGGGTGGAGAAGAGCCATAACTGCAGAGATTCGGGGAGGCCTGGGCGCAAGTATTAATGGGCCTGGAATTGCACAGAAAAGCAGCACCTTGGTCCGGAAGGCGAATGGGCGGCAGGAAAGGCTCAGACGAGGGCTGCCGAGTCATAAGGCGAATGAGATACCCCTCTCCGGTTATGTGCATCCTTGCTTGGACCCCCGCCTTTCCCTGCTACCGTAACGACACTGGAGAAGGAGCGCACAATGGTTGCACAACGCCCCGGCTTTGCTCTGCAAAAGGCGACACCTTGCGGATGTCCCCCTCCACCCCGGTGGAGGGACGGAGCCAGAGCCGAAGGTAGACGAAGTAGGGCGACCGCGGGTGGGTCGCGCTCTCCTCCCCAAAAAGTTCCAGGGCTTAACTGGCAGCCTTCTGACCCCACTTTTCAAAAGGGGAGGGCGCAGAGAACTTTAAAAGATGGGCTTGGAAAAGAAAATAGTCGCTCCCCTAGGTGAAACCACAAGGAATCCCCTTGGTATAGCCATTTGGATGACTGGGGTGGGGGGAGCATTTCCAAAAGTCCACAGGCCAGGACGAAAAAGTGGACGGCGAAATATCTACTTGCCTGAATTTAATTAAAAGCAATTTGAGTTCATTAAATGTAGTTGGCACCATTCTTCCCAGAGCATTTAATAACTGTCCCCGTTACCATTAGAATTAAGGGGCAACTTTTAAAGAGGGTTCCATCCTTGGCTTCCTGGGTTCACCCTGAACCTCTGGTGGCTCAGGGTCTGCAACCCTGCTGTGGACACTTCCTTGGGAGTAAATTTTATGGAAAAACTCTGAAATTCCTTCAGAGTGGGTCTGCATAGGACAGACCTGCAGATTTAAGGCAGCTGACGCCTCTGCTGGGTTCAGAGTTCAGAACAGCTCAGTGAGGGTGGGGCTTTTATTACAGTGGTTGAATGGAGGGAGGTACTTAAAAAAACAAAACATGTACACTACCAGACCTTAAGGAATAGAAAGATACCCATGGACAAAGGGACTTCCTCAGTGCTGTATAGCGGTTTTAAAATAAAACACCGCCGTAAATTTAGACACCACACAAATCTATAGCTGCTATTAGAGATGCTTGAGCAAAACGCTTCCGGCAGCTAACAGCACTCCTCGATCCAGCTGTTTTATACAGAACTAACTGCGGTTCCAAGCAGCCTCCAAGGGCGATAGCGATCCCGTATGGGGTACTTTACAGTTTGGGTATGAAACCTCACTGTTCAAATATATGTCAAAATTCCCAGCAAGAGATACATCGATATATTGGAAGCTGATAAAATGTATTTCTAGCTTTCACCCTGGTGGAAATACACTAGTACCCCTAATTTAAAGCTCCGGATGACATGTGTTCACTTTCAACATACGGACTGGCCTTTTATCGACATTGTGGGAAGCCGGATCAATATTACTCTGTGTGGCCAAACCAAGGTTTAATTTGTCATTTGGAGACTTGAGCTTTTCTTTTATGTGCATTTATTTTTATCATTTATTTGTTATTTTTTGCTCTCTTGTTTTTAGTTTATTTGGTTTATGTTTTTTTTTATTTTTCTTTTACTTTTTATATTTTTTTTCTTTGTATGATTTTTTTTAAAAGATTCCTTTCTAGCTATTGCCTCAGACTATTTAACCGGACAGACTTAGGTCCAGTAACTTCTGTTTAGGTTTTTTTCCCCCAACTTTTAAATCTGAGAACAGACTATCACCACCAGTACATATTTCTTTTCCTTTTTATTCATGCAGAAAATCTGGCCTCAGTGGTGAGAGACTTGACAGGTGCTGTAGTCTGCATGTAGCTTTGTGTTAAGTTGCACACATTGCAAGGCCATCATGTGTGTGGGCTGATGGTGTCATTGACTACTGTATATTTGCCTTTAAAACAGAAGCAGTCAAATGTGTTTTTCATATTTCTTCCTCATTACTGGCCTCTTTTTTGCCTAGAAGTCAAGAGCTTCCATTTTAAACGTATTCTAAGTTTGTTTCATTTGCAGGCACCTGCAGCTTTAAACAGCTGCCTTTTCTCTGTGAATTAGAAAGGAAATGTGTAAGTCTTCTGCTTTTGTCTTCTCTTAATTACGGGCTTTTCGAGGTAAAATTGTGAAAATTATGATTCAATTGGAGTAACTGATTCTATGGTCTGGTTTCCCCAAAACACAGAAAAGGCACAAAGCCAGTTGAAAACTGTATGTCCTGATTAAAAAGCATGTGTGTACAGGTAGTCCCGGGTTTCAGACAACCCATAGTTAAGAATGGAGCCTATCGTAGCAAAATTTGAGTTGAATACACAATGATTTGAATTAAATACCCAATGGTTCGAGTTCATTACAGAATACTACTTATACAGTATTATGCAATAATGCTGTTCCACCTTACATACCAATTCGACTTAAGGACAGACCTTGGGAATAGAATTCGTTCGTAAACTGGGGACTACCTGTCCAGCATATGCCCGCATCAAGCCTCTTATGGGAATGTTTCCTTATGCTATGAGATTCTGTTATTATATTACACTCCCCGAATGTCTGCTTGGTTTCTGTTGGCCCCAAAACAGAGACTTGCCTTGAACAGGTGGTATAAAAATCTGGGAGGAAAGTTTGAAAATTCTAAGAGTGTATGGAGATTGTCACATCTTCCTGGCTGCACACAGAGGAACTCACCAGAGGATACCTCTAGAAAATGCCAAGCAGATTTAGAAGACGAGGATAGATGTATCCTAACTACAACTCTTAAGCTTTTTGTGGCATTTTACTATTTCCCAAGGCAATGAATAGCATCCGTTCAGATACAGGTACAAAGATGAAGATGTCAGAGACATAATTGGGATGAGAATTTTTTTTTTTCTCTTAAAGAGTTTCAATCATTGGGAATCATCTTTTTCCTATCTGCCTAGCTTGGCCCCTTCATCTGCATAGCCTCATCTTGG